ACATTTAAAGAAAAAAGTACCTATGAGGTCCTCAATGAATGTCTGTGATTATCCGCAGTTTCCTTTTACATATTTGGAAGTCAAAACCCAGGGAAGCTGAGTCATTGTCCATATTCAACAGCCAGTCGGTGCTCAGGCTAAGAGGTAAACTTGGTCTACTGAATTCGAAAACAGAAGATGCCCTGAGAAGGAAGTGGTGCAAGGCAAGAGAGAATAGGTAATAGGTGCTTTCAAGTCCACAAACACTGTGGATTGATTAGGTTGCCTAGGTAGCCAGCAGAATTGGAGAAAAGGTTGTGGTTAAACTCTGGAGAGAATTTTCCAGGGAGCAGAAGTGCGGCTAAAATCTGAAAGAAACAAAAAAACCCAACAAGTGAACACTGATAAACAAAGGAGTCTTGAGCTTAATCTACAGGTAGAACTAACTGCTGACTGAAGGTAAGCAAGCCTCTCCCTCTGAGAGCAGTCAGACAAGATGGGAGAGGGACTGGGGAAGGATGGGGCAGTGGACAGAGAAGGGCTACCTGTCCAAGCCTGTCACCTGTTCAGTGCCTCCCTTTGGTGTTGACATCTGTCTTTATGAGCAGGAAGCACTAGACCAGAGTCACGCTAAGGGAGAAGGGGACCACCCCCAAAAAGTTTCAGCAGTGATTGGTTTGGAGGTTCTCAAGAGAGAGACACAGTGCATTGGGCAGATCTGCTGCAAAAGACCTCTTTAACGTGTTAAAAAGCAAAGACCTCACTTTAAGGACTAAAGTGCACCTGACCCAAGCCATGGCATTTTCATTTGCCTCATAAGCTTGCAAAAGCTGGGCAATGAATAAAGAAGACCAAAGAAGAAATGATGCCTTTAAGTTACACTGTTGGCAAAGAATACTGAATATACCATGGACTGCCCAAAGAACAAACAAATCTATCTTGGAAGAAGTACAGCCAGAATGCTCCTTAAAAGAAAAAATGGTAAGAATTCTTCTCAGGTACTTTGGACATGTTATTAGGAGGGACCAGTCCCTGGAGGAGGACATCATGCATGGTAAAGTAGAGGGTCAGTGAAAAAGAGGAAGACACTCAACAAGATGGATTGACACAGTGGCTGCTACAATGGGCTCAAGCATAACAAAGATTGTGAGGATGGCGCAGGACAGGGAATGGTTTCGTTCGGTTGTACGTACTGTTGCTGTGAGTCAGAACTAACTCAATGGCAAATAACAACAACCAGTATTATGATGATTAGCATTCAGGTTTTCAGACTCTAATTTTTTATCCATGATCTCACACTGTCTTGAGATCCTTCCCCTTCACTAAAGATACTGTTCACTTGCAAGAGGATGAGCAGAAAGACAAGTCTACTCTAATGAGTGTAAGTCTGTGTGGACTTATGTTTTCATCTGTCTTGGATAAATATCAGAGTGGAGTTGCAGGTTTGTATGGTAAGGGTATGTTTAACTGTTGTCATTTGTACCATTGTACATTTCCACCAACAATGTGTGAGAGTTCCAGTTGCTCCACAACTTCATCAACACTTAATATGGTTAAAATCAGTTGAACATAGATGTTAGAGTCTCTGTCTGAGCTCTCTATTCTAGTGCTTTATATGTCTATTCATCCGTATGATATTATGCCAATACCACATTGTCTTATTACTGTAGCCTTGTAGTAAGTCTTGGAATAAGGTATTGTAAGTCCCCCAGCTTTGTTCTTCTTTATCAAAATTGTTTAGACTATTCTATGTACTATACATTTGCATACAAATTTTAAAAGAATCAGCTTGTCAGGTTTAACAAAAAGCTTCCTGGGATTTTGATTGAAAATGCATGGAATCTGTAGATCAAATTTGAAGAGAATTAACATTCTAAAAATATTGAGTCTTTGGATTTGTGAAAATGGAATCTCTCTCCATGTATTTAGGTCTTCCTTAATTTCTCAAAACAATATTTTGTAGTTTTAAGTGAATAGGTCTTGTACATATTTTGTTAATGATTTTGGATTCTATCATAAATTGTATTATTTATTTTCATTCCAAGTGTTAATTACTAGTATATAAGAATGCAATACATTTTTTTGTATATTGAGCTTTTATCCTGTGATTTTGTTAACCTCACTTATTAGCCCTAATGGCTATTTTTGTAGACTTCTTAGGATTTTCGACACACAGAATTATGTCATCTGTGAATGAGGAATTTTATTTCTTTATTTCCAAACTGGATTTTAAAATTTTATCTTCCTACTTTATTGTCCTGGCTAGGACTTGCAGTGCAGTGTTGAATACAAGTGGTGAGAGCGGATATTCTTGTCTTCTTCCGTATCTTAGAGGGAATGCATTAAGTCTTTCATCATTGCATTTCATGTTAGCTCTAAGTTTTTTGTGCATTCCATTTATCTGCTTGCAGAAATTTCTTTCCTTTTCTAGTTTTCTCAGAGTTTTTAATTATCAGTGGATGTTAACTTCGTGATTGAGACCAACATGCAGGCTTCTTGAGATTTTGGTACATGTTTTAGAGGCCAATTGTGGTGTCTCCTATTACCGGGGTGAATGAGTTGTTTGGGCTCTGGATGACTAAGAGAAGCTTTGGCGGGAGCCTGGATAAAGGACATAGGGGACGAGTTACTTAGAGTCTGAGATGTCTCCTGGTAACTGAGCCTTGGGGCATTGGGGGAAGGCAGCCTGGTGTTGAGAGCCCCCAACTGGTGAGATTTCAAGTTTTCCCATTAAACAAAAACTTTCATAAGTTTTCAAACTTAATTGGCCAAAGATGGGAATAACTAAAAGTTTATTCTGCTCTTCTCAGACTGATTGCTCAGGGACTCCCCAAACCTGTGCTAATTAAGAATAGGGACCTCAGTGACGAAGCCCTCAGGGGACAGACCCTCAGCTCCCCACAGCACTGGTATTTCTGGACTTTTTCCTCAAGCTCCTCTGTGAGCAAAATTTTCTTCTTCACCTCTGTCCCCGGGAATAGCCCAGCTCCAGCCAGACAGGAGGTGGCCTCGGCTGAGCCCTGGAGAGCATATGAAGGAGCAGGGAATCCCTTGCACAGAGGTGAGTGTCCATCACAGAGGGAGGGAAGAGAGCATTCGCACAGGAGGGTCTGGGCTTGGGCACTTCTAGAACAAGGACAACAGGGGCCTGAGGAAAGACTTCAGGAGCCGCAGAGAGGACAGCTGATCTCTGAGTCCCTCCTGCTCCGCAAAAGCAGACAAGCCCTACTCTGGCCAACCAAGGATATGCACAACTCTCTGCCCTTTGTCAGGAGCCTTCTCTCTCATTCTTCATCCAGTCTTTGTGACCCAGAAATTGTGGAAAAGTAGATCACTGCGTTCTCCCAATAATTCTGCCCTTGAAGCCTGTTTGTCCATTAGTAAAATGGCCACAACAAGAGAGTGTATACATTGGCAGGACTGTGACTTTTTGAGGCAGGAAGGGAAACCAAGAAAAGTAGGATCAAGGGGTTTCTTGCAGAATTGACCCTGGCCAGGACCGAGTACAATGCAATTGTACATCCATCCATCCATCTATCCATCCATCCATCTAATCATCTATTTATCCATTCATCAATGCATCCAATTCAAGGAGTTTATATTCTAATGACATAGATGGACAATAAATAAGTAAATAAAATTAAATTTCCTATCTCTCTTCCTTGTTTTATTTATTTTTTATGGTACACTTAACACAGTAAAACCTTATATATTTTTCTGAGCTATCTTGTGTCTGGCCTAGCTTCCATTCCCTCCTTGAAGATAAACTCCATAGCCCAGAAATTTGTGTTTGTTTTGTTCACACATACATTTGTTTAATATTCAATGAAAGAATGCAATAAACAATTAAGGATATAATAAAATATTAGGTAATAATAATCAGTGCTATGAAGAAGACTGATGTTCCTAATGTGTCTTCCCTATTGTGAGAAGGTGATTAAGAAGGAGCCCCTGAAGAAGTGGTGCTTGAGTGAGGATGGGCTGGAGGAAGCCAAGGTTAGAGACCCAAGCGTCCTAAGTAGCTGTGGCCTCAGATCTACCTCTTGTTTGTCCAAGTGGCATCTTTCCTTCATCCCATGATTTTGGAGGGAAAAAGGAATCAGAGGAGAACAGATCTTCTCTGGGAAATGGTCCCAAGCTTTTCTGTGGGATTAATACCATGGCAAAGCTGGGGACTTCAGATTCCCATTTGGAGGCCTTGCTTCCCTGCAATATGGGGATTTTGAAATCTAGGGACCACAGGGATGTTGGTCTTGGAGCACCTAATCTTTCACCCTGGCTCCAGGGTGGATCCATGCTACATGGAGGAGGTTGGTATTCAAAGTTCTATCCTTTGAACATCATCATCATAATGACATTTGAAGGTCATTATGTCATCTGGTGAAGAGATGGACTCCATATTATCATTCTAAGTGGAAGTAGGACAACCTCAGGACCAGAGGGAACTGATTAACTCAGCTTCAAAACTGGCCAGTGTAAAGGTCTTAGCCCCTGCCCCTGGGAGAAGGCATATCCACTAGAGAAAAAGACTGGAAGGTGTTCCTCACACCAACAGAGAGGACGGTGTGTTCACCCATTCCAGGAGCTCACTCCCAGCAAAGTGGGAATGAAATTTATAGACTAGAGGTGGCTTAACATGTAGCCCAGGCAAGGTACATGGTCGAGGTCCTGGGTGGTGAAAATGGTTTACATGTTTGGCTGCTAATGGAAAAGTTGAGGGTTTGAGTCCACCCGTAGGTGCCTCTGAAGTAAGGCTTGGTGAGCTACTTCCAAAATATCAGACACTGAAAGCCCTGTGGGGCACAGTTCTACTCTGACACATACGGGGTTTCCAGTAGTCAGCGTCTACTTGACAGCAACTGCTACTGGTGTGTCCATGGAAGTGGGTTCATCTCACCTGAGATTGGAAATAGTTCCTCACTCTAACCTGTCTTCTCCCCTCTTGAGAGCAGGACCTTGTGGAGCAATGTTACCTCTCTTTAATCTCTAGGTTTCACAAGGAACAGAGCAAGGGCTAATTGATGGGGACTTATTCTAGTGCCACCAAATTCTGCCTTCTAGGCTTCCGTGGGTCCCAAAAACTACACCATATCCTTTTTACTATATTCTTTTTCTTCTATTCAGTGACAGTAATGGGAAACTCAGTCATCATCATGATTGTGCTGATAAGCGTCTTCAGTCCCCCATGTATTTCTTCCTTGGCCACCTCTCTCTCCTGGAGACCCTGACCACAAACATTGTTGTCCAGTGATGCTTTGGGGGCTGCTGCTCCCTGGAGTGCGGACTATATCACTGACTGTCTGTGTTGCTCAGTTCTTCTTGTTCCTTGCTGCGGGAACCACAGAGTTTGCACTACTGGGAGCTATGGCTGTAGACTGTTACTTGGCTGTCTGTAACCCTGTGAGGTACAACATCATCATGAGCAGCCACACCTGCAACTGGATAGTGATTGTGTCTTGGATGTTTGAGTTCCTTTCTGAAATCTGGCCTGTCTTCGCCACATTTCAGTTTACCTTCTGCAAATCCAACGGGTTAGACCATTTTTTCTGCAACAGAGGGCAGTTGCTCAAACTATCCTGGGATGACACTCTGTTCACAGAGTTCATCCTCTTCTTAATGGCTGTTTTCATTATCGTTGGCTCTTTGATCCCTACAATTGTCTCCTACACCTGTATTATCTCCACCATCCTCAAGATCCCCTCAGCCTCTGGCCAGAGGAAAGCCTTCTCCACTTGTGCCTCCCACTTCACCTTTGTCATCATTGGCTATAGTACCTGCATCTTCCTCTATGTGAAACCAAAGCAAACACAGGCAGCTGAGTACAGCAAGATTGTTTTCCTGCTGATCTCTTTGGTGACCCCTTTCCTGAACCCTTTCATCTTTACCCTCCGGAATGACAAAGTCAAAGTGGCCTTTGGAGATGGGGTGAAACACTGCTGTCAACTCCTCAAAGACTAGCTCTTTCCTGAGTCAGTTTCAGGTGGAATGGTCCTCCTTATGGATTATTCCATATCCTGGAAGTCCTAATTCCCCTCTCATCATTATCATCACTACAAAAATCACGTGTACAAATCCCACTCAGGTATTGGAAGTAGACATGGTAGGTAAGAGGTTCCCCTTTCTCTGCCCACTAGAGTCTCACAGACTTAGTTTCTGCTCATGGCCACAGATGAACTCAAGAAGCACATCCTAGCAATGAGGGAGGAATTAGAAGCAAGAGGCATACACATATGTGTAGCATTCTATTTGCCCAATTAATTTGCTGAGCATCACCTCTGAACACGTACTTTCCAGTGAGGTAGGAGGCTGAAGGGAGGCAGTGAGCTAGGCCCACAGTCAGAGCACGCCAGAATAGCACTCACACCATTCCTTCCTCAGTCATTGCTAGGGTCACTCTAGAACACTTCTGCTATTTCTTGACCAGGTGGTCATATGCACCTAGAAATGCCCTGAGGCCCTCTTTTCCTGGTTGTATGTCATATCATCCTGGCCCACTGCTACTGCCGGCATGTGCTTGTTGTGTACACTGCTGCAGAACCAACCTAGAGTGGTGACACGCAGGTTGGAGTGCTTCTTGTCTCGCAACTCCTGGTGGGATGGAGAAGGTGAAAACATTTGGGGACAGGACTTGGTTAGAAGTTTTCTTTTGTTAAACTTCAGATTATTACTTAAACCTCTTCCCTTTTGGTGGGTATGGGGACAGGGCAAATAAGAAGTAAATGACTAATTCTAGAGACAGCATCTGTGTTTCACAGCTGCTTAAAACAACTCTTTCTGTTCAGACTCCTTCCAGACTTGGACATCATGCTTCATCATTCCTCTTGAGTCTCTGTCCCCCAAATCAAACTGTATCAGTTCCTTTCCATCAATTTTCTCTGTTAGCAGAATCAAGAAAGTATAAGGCTATCTCCTCGACCCTAGGGTCGTTAATAATTCCAAGACAGGCTGTTTGAAAGTGTTGTTGAAGGAATTTCAGATTGTCTTAGTTATCTAGTGCCGCTGTAACAGAAATACCACAAGTGGATGGCTTTAACAAACAGAAATTTATTCTCTCACAGTCTAGGAGGTTAGATGTCTGAATTGAGGTTGTCACCTCTAGGGGAAGGTTTTCTCTCTCTGTCAGTTCTGGAAAAAGGTCCTTGGTTTGAATATTCCTGTGGTCTAGGAGCTTCTCTGTACAGGGACCCCAGGTCCAAGGGACATGCACCCCTCCTGGTTCTTCATTCTTGGTGGCATGAGGTCCCACTGTCTCTCTGCTTGCTTCTCTCTTTTATGTTTTAAAAGAGATTGACTCAAGATCCAACGTAATCTTGTAGGTTGAGTCCTGCCTCATTAACATCATAGAGGTAGGATTTACAACACATAGGAAAATGATATCAGATGACAAAATGGTGGGCAATCACAGAATACTGATTATCATGGCCTAGCCAAGTTGACACACATTTTAGGGGGGCACAGTTCAATCCATGAAACATGTCTTATTGGGTGAAGGGCTTAGAAGGAAGGAGAACCCTTGGAGGATGACACTCAGCCATCCTGGCAGCTCTGCCCCTGCCCAGCAGTGTGGCTCCAGTAACACAGTCTGAGTAATACCTTCCTGAGTGGGGAGGAGGCAGAGCCATCCCACAGGACTGAGAAGAAGCTTGCACTGCACACAGGCACCGGATGAGATGCAAGTGGGGTTTTCAATCCAATCCACATTCTGCTGGCCAAGCTCAGTTCATGGGGGCTATTCTGGCCAGAAGTAATGCTTTTTGTCTAACTAAGAAGCCCAGAGATGTTGCCTCTTATTAGTCTGCACCAAAGCCCTGTCTCACTGAGGAGTAGCTGGGCTGTGGAAGGCAGAGAAGAGGACAGCCTGGGTCTGGTGCTCATGCTTTTCAGTCCGTCGACCCTGTTGGCTCTAGGCCTCTTGCTCCCTGCTCACCCTTTGCTCATCCACCAACTTCCCTGTTCCTCTTCCTCTCTTCCTTCTGTCTGGATATCTCAGGTTTCCTTTTTTCTCACTTGCCCCTTCCCCCCATTTCACCTTGAGTTAATGCTCAGACCTCCCACTGTTGCCCCATTCCTATTCTTTCCTCCAGCCCCACTAACATTCCTACTCCTCTCCTGAATCTCAGGCTACCTCTCTGAATGCCCTGGGCATTTTGCGTATTTTCTCAAATAAGTGTGTCTAATGAGAGAGCTGGAAGTCCCTCTGAGCCTGAGTGTGGAATATGGGAGGAAAGGAGAGCTCCATAGGAGAGTTCCACTAGAGGCGACTAGTGATGGGCGTTAAAGTTCTCTCCAGCGGAGCCCAGGCCCTTCTGTCTGTCTTTGATCCTAAATGAAGGGAGGCCATTATTCTGCGCCTGCCCTGCAAGCCAAGCTTAATCCAGACCTGAATACTGACCTTGTCCCTACCCTGAAAGCTGGATGACACATCGCTGCTTCACTGGGAGCTGCCATCTCCCAAGATGCAGGCAACTTCTGGAGAAAAATGAAACACCCACCACTACTACATACACACCACGGCACCTCAATAGCTTCCTGCTTTACTTACTTTTTCTCTCTCTTCCTCAGAAGTGATCACAGAGATACTCAATACTCAACATATTGTTGTTAGCTGCTGTCAAGGGGACTTTGACTCACAGCAACCCCATGTACAGCACAGTGACACGTTGCCTGACCTGTGTCATTCTCAGGATTGCCGGCACGTTCAAGTCCGTTGCTGTGGCTGTTGCATCAGTCCATCTCACGGGGGGTGTCCCTCACCCTCCCTGGCCCTCTACTTCACCAAACATAATGTCCACCACTAGTGATTGACCTTTCCTGATGGCATGTCCAAAGCAAGTGAGTCGGACAATGTTCTGTTGAGATCCAGAAGCTTTTCACAGGCTAATTTCCAGAAAAATATCACCAGGCCTTTCTTCCTCATCTGTTGTATTCTGAAGCTCTACTGAGAGCTGTCACCATGGGTGAACCTGCTGGCATTTGAAATATTGGTGGCATGGCTTCCAGCATCACTGCAACATGCAAGCCACCACAGCAGGAACAACTGACAGATGGGTGGTAGATACTCAAATAGAGTTCTAAAAAGAAATACTAATTATAGATCTTTATTTGAACCACTTATTCACACCTATTACTACACTGAAAAATAATTCTTATACATACTTCAATGTGTTGCAATTTTTATTTAGTTTAAACATTGGTCTATGTTAATGTATACTTTGCATTTTTAGCTATATGCTCACAGTGGAAACAAAAACTAGAGTAAATACTACTTCCAACCTGGAAAGTTTTTCATGGTCCCTCCTCCAGAAAATTTTCTTGGGTGAAAATAAAATGGTTTCTCAGCTAGTATCTGCTTCATCACTCTGACAAGACATTCTGCTTTTCTGTGTTTTATTTCCTATAAGTATTTCTCTTTATCTAAATTTAATATCCATAAATGTTGGTGTATATGATACTAATTAAGATATTAAACTCTTTATTTTATAATAATGGTCCTTATTGGCAGTTAAGGAATAAGAAGAGAGTGGTATGTGATTTAAACTCCTAAGGGATCTTGGATAGCCATTCTTTGTGTCTGATTGAAATATCCTGAATGTTTTATTAACATTGACAATAATTACCAACACTGAAGATCACTATAATTTGACTCAGGTTTGTTTGACTTCAAAGTTTGCTCTTTGCCTCTTTGTTATTTTGCCCCATGAACATGAGCAAGTTTTTCCAGTAATGACACTGAATATAATTTTTGTATTATGTTTTCTTTCTATACATTGAACACCTACTGCATGCAAGAAAATTTGTTAAATGCAGGGGAAGCAAATAGGAGGAAGGGAACAAATATATACTGATTGTATGCTAAAAACAAAATCCTTTGCCATCAAGTAGATGCCAACTCATGTGTTACAGAGTAGAACTACTCCATAGGATTTTATTGGTTGTAAACTTTGAGGGAAGAGTCCTGGTGGCACAGTGGTTAAGCACTCAGCTGCTAACCAAAAGCTCAGTGGTTCGAACTCACCAGCCACTCCGAGGGAGAAAGATCTGGCAGTTTGCTTCCGTAAAGATTTACAGCCTTGGAAATCTTATGGGGCAGTTCTACTCTGTCCTATAGGGTCACTATGAGTTGGAATCGACTTGCTGGCAGTGGGTTTCGTTTGGTTTTGGAATCTTTGAGAAGCAGATCACCAAGCCTTTCTCCCAGGTGGTGCCAATGGGTGGGTTTGAACTGCCAAACTTTAGGTTAGTAGTGAAGTACAAACTCTTTGCGCCACCCAGGGACCTATTGTAATCTAAATAAAACCTATCGCCGTCTATTCCGACACATAGTGACCCTACAGGACAGAGTAGAACTGACTGAAAGGGTTTCCAAGGAGCAGCTGGTGGATTCAAGCTGCCCAACTTTTTTGGTTAGCAGCTGAGCTCTTAATCACAGATCCAGCGGGGCTCCCTTGTATACTAAGTATCCTGTAATTCTACATTTTTAAACTCAATCCTGGAAATAACCAGTGAGGTTTAAGTATTATTATATCCATTTAACAGATGAGAAAATAGAGACTCAGAGGGGTTAAGAAGTTTACTAATGTTTACTTAGCCACCAACCCTATCATGCCCATCGGATTGGATAAAAGGAAAAACTCTGGGAATACTAATTGTTGGCATGAATGGGAGCAAATAGGGGCTCTTATCCATTGCTGATGGGAGTATAGAATGGCATGGTCCAATTAACCAGAGAGGAGCAAACCTAAGAAGTGTGAACTGTGCGTTTCCTTTGGTCTGTTTTCACAGTTGTTGGTTATTTCCTCAGCTGTGTTGATTCTACTGATGAGCCCATGAGTGGAATTATTCATTCCTCATACAGTGGTTTTAATTTCTAATGTTTTCATTTGATTCTTCCTTATAGTTTTTTTCTTTCTGCTGAAATTCCCCTCTTGGCCACCTTTTCCACTGCATTATTTGACAAA